AATAGACAAAAATTGTCGGTTTTTTTTTCAAACATTATTGTGCCCGAGTATGGTAAGAGTACGATAAATTTTTACGAGTCAATTAATTGACATTACGTGTTAAGTACAAAAACGAACAAAAAAATTGTATGCACAAACGTTAAAAGTCTCCTTGCCACATTTGCATTTTTAGTTTCTTGATTAGTTGGAGCGCCGAAAATATCTAATCAAATCATGTTTTATTCAATTCAGTCTCAGAACATTCCTACATTTTATACGATTCTTCCAGAACCTTCTACACAATCACGTGATGCAGATGTTGCAGGGCCGACGACACGGGATTTGAAGTAGGGAGGGGGGACACAATCATCAATTTGTGAAAAGAGTCCTCTTTATCAAGATTTTTCTTTGAAAAAAAAAAAGAAAAAAAGTCCTTTAGAAAAAAAGTGGGGGAAACGTGCCCCCTGGCCACCCCCGGTGTTGTTGGCCCTCTATTGTGTTGATTGATTAATATGTAATTAATGACGTTGTGGCTAATCATAATGTACAAGAACAATCTTGCAAAATGTTATTTCTAGATATTGTTGGTGAGTATTGTAATCTAGTCAAATCAATATCAATCATATGATTTACGAGAGATTGTATTAATTTTTATGTAGTATTTTAAAAACATATAATGATTTTAGATAATACCGATATTCCAGTAAACCATAATTTGAGTGATGAATTTTCCGATTTTTGTCATCAAAAAAGTAACTCCGAAGATGTATTGTTAAACTCAAACTCCGGTAAGAGTAGTTTTTAAGTTATATTTTTTTACATAAATAATATTTGTTGTATTCAGATGAAGATATGGCTGATTAATTGATACAAATTTAATAACTCTGTTTTATTAAAATAAAATGTTTTTTTTATTTTATATACATAAATACTTAGTTTTAATCTACCTTTCATTAAAAGAATGTTAAAAAAAACATAGTAATTAAATGTGTGTCCACAAATTTGTAAGAACACAATTGTGGTTAGTACAATTATAAAGATGTCAAATTTGGTAAGTGCAAACATATAGGTATATTTTGTCATATTTCTCGCTAGAAAGCTATCAAGATTTTTTACATACAGTATTGGAAAATACATTTGCAACCAGCATCGAACAATGCTAAAAAGTGTTCCTAATTTTACATGTCTTAAAAATAAAACGAACTATACTACCACAGCAAACAGTTCAGGAGTCTGGAGTCATAGCATGCCATGACATGAGCAATTAGCTGACAGGTGACAGCACACAGACAGAATTTCATTGACAAGTGCCATTTTGCAGCGGACAAAACAAGTGCAACTTTTTTGGTTTATTTTATTTTCTTAAGTCTGGTCTGTGTCAACGTTACGGAAGTTTTTTAATAATTAAAGGAAGTATCTAGAAGTTTCCAGAACCATGCAGAAGCTTCCAGAAGAAGCATCTGGAAGCATCCAGAAGTATCCAGAAACATTCAGAAGCATCCTGACGCATCGAAAAGAAGCATCTAGAATCTTCCAGAACAGGTTTACACAGGTTCATTTTACTATATAAGAGACATGTAAACCGACATGTAATTCAGTCAGTATATGGAAGTCAATCAGTCAGTATTATCAAGACAGTTTATCAAAGTGAGTTTTATCAAAGTGTTTTATCGAAGAACATCAATACAAGAAGTGAAATACAACAAGTGTTTCATTACATTAATACAGTCCACATCCAACCAAGACGTTGTGTTCCACAGAGCATTATTATATCATCACAAGGTAAATGTAACACGGTAAGTCTTGAGAAGCGTGATTATTTACTTTTATTATTTCTATGACTTCAAGTGCAAAAATGGCTCCCAACAGTCTTGAATTGGAATTAAGAAAGAAAATGATTGATGATTATGTAGGTGGAATGTCACAAAAAAGTATTTGTGATAAATATCGCATGAAAAAATGGACCGTATCAAGACTATGTTCCAAATATCGTTCTACAGAGAAGTTGGCAGCAGATAACAAAGGTGGAAGCCCGCGTTCCACCACTTCTAGAGAGAATTCTATGATCGTCAGATTCGTCAAGAAGGATCCCTGGATATCATCAGTCGAGACACAAAAGCAATTAGAGCTGCCTGTATCAGACCGAACAATCAGACGACGTGCTGTTGAATCCTACGCTCTGCAAAGAAACTGCTGATTTCACTAAAGAACCAGAAAAAAGACTCCTGTTTGATATATCTCATATTGACTGCAATGTGCAGAAATGGCGAACTGTACTGTTCAGTGATGAATCGAAGTTCAACATCATTGGGAGCGATGGCATTTGCCGTGTACGTCGACTGGCCGGAAAACGCCTCAATTTACGTTACTGCCATAAGACCGTGAAGCATGGTGGAGACAATGTAATGGTCTGGAGGTGTTTTTCTGCTAACGGTCTAGGTCCAATACATCGAATCGATGGAATAATGGACCGTTTCATGTATAAAAATATCCTGAAAAATGTTATGTTACCTCATGTTGAATGGAATATGCCAATAAAATGGGTTTTTCAGCAAGACAACGATCCGAAACACACTACAAAAGTAGTCAAGCAGTGGTTTCAAGACAACCACCTATCGGTGATGGATTGGCCGCCTCAATCTTTGGATCTCAACCTTATCGAGAACCTGCGGGAGATGTTTGAACAAATTCAAAAGGCCCGGGCAGCGATTCCACAAAGTTTCATCGATCATCTGATCGAGTCTATGCCTTGAAGATGCAACGCTGTGATCGACAATAAAGGATTCGCCACAAAATATTGATAGCGAAATGCAGCTTGGTCAACATTTTGTGGAGTTGCACTTGTTTTGTCCAGAAGGAAATCAACTTTTCTTAATACTTTTGATTAATTTATTAATTTTCGTGTACAAATAATGAACTTTGTGATGAATAAAACTTGTAGAACGTTGTCTCTTAACAGTTACATAGTTATTTCTCTAAATTGAAAAAATGCAGCACTTTTATATAAAGAAACTAAATTAGCATTATTTGGTTGCACTTGTTTTGTCCGATACTGTAAATGAGGAATTAGCGATTACGATAAAGTACTAATTAAGTCTTTAAATTCATAAATAAAACAATAGTTAAATGTTAAACTTTCAAAATGCTCCCCTGCAAAATTACATCTGTGGCACTTAACACTTCTGTGCCTAATGCCCTCGATAAGTAAAATAGAAAAGTCAAGGGAAAAAAAAAAAGCCATAAAATCAAATAAAATCTAGTATCTTATGTTACATTTTTTTTGTTAATAACAATTTTCCAAGAGTGAATAGATATCATAAATTTACTGAGATTGCTGTATTTCAATCTAAAACAAATTTTACTAATAATTTAAAGCTTTTCTTAGTTAAAAATTTCTTATTTTTTTTAAGTTTAGTTTGATCTAGGAGTACTTTTATTACCGAATAAAAACAAAGAACCGTCGTTATTGAAACAGTATATAATAAGTTTCTTTTCGCCAAAAACTTAAATATTTGCCGATGCAAATGTTTTCAAAAACTTGCTAACATTTGCACTATATAAATTCCAAAATTAAATGTCTAGATAATTTTTTTTGAAACTTATATTACAAAATATTTTCTCTATTTTGTATGTCGAAATTCCATTGACAATCTTATCCCTACTAATGTAACTTAAACACTTACAGCACATGCTACTGCTTATGTAACTCAGGTAACAGGATTGTTAAACTCCAACAATATTAACTAATTATGGATAATATTGGATAAATAATACAACTTTTTTTCAGTTTATGGTAGCAATAATATAGCATACCAAACTTAGTTTGTCACAGCTATAAAAATATTCTAAAAATTATATTCAGTTTTCTGCAAATGCCTAAGGTAAAAAATGTATATATATATATATATATATATATATATATATATATATATATATATATATATATATATATATATATATATATATATATATATATATATATATATATATATTCGGACCCGGCAATTCGGCTGTTTTACCGGGTACCCGGTATCGGCCATTTTGTTGCAGTACCCGGCACCGGGTATCTTCAAAATTGATTTTTCCGTTATCTTACCGTTAAGATACCCGTTATCACCGGGTATCTTCAAAATTGATTTTTCCTTAAGTTTAAACTTTAACCATTAAACTTCTTGATATAAGTCTAAGAATGTTATGTAGTCGATAACCACAAAGTTCTATTAACTTAAAACAAACTCACTTAAAATATTTTTTAATACATTTTTGCAAAAAAATTTATACGGATACAAAAACTGTAACGCTAAATGAAATAATTCGAAAATACGAATAAAAAGAATGATAAAAAAAGTTTTTAGAATAGCTTCTTTTTATTTTGTTAGTACACAAGATAATTTTTAGCAATTTAGTTTTGAATGAAACGCTTATAATGCTTTTGAACGCTGATACCACTTTTTATTCGTATCAAGCAAAAATCATAAAAGTAGAGATATAAGGTAAATATTATACATATTTTTCATATTTTAATTTCGATAATAATTATAACAAAATATTATTTAGGCCCGCTCCACCAGGAAAGAAAAATAATTTTAAACTAAATGTAGTTATTAAAAAACTGTTGCACAACTTTTGAAAAAAAGTTAGGCCCTACAACTCAGGCCCCTTACCCTGCATTGCGGGATTTTGCTAAATAGCACTTCCGCCACATAACTTTTGGTTAGTTAGCATAAAAAGAGTATTTTGTGTGAATAGCTCAGCGCTAGAGATTTTACAAGTTTTTATTCCGACTTTTAAAAAATGGACTCGGTGTCGAGTACCCGGACCCGGTTTTTTCAGCCGGGTACCCGGAATCGGAGACTCGGCATAAACTGGTTCCTGCACATCTCTAATATATATATATATATATATATATATATATATATATATATATATATATATATATATATATATATATATATATATATATATATATATATATATATATATATATATATATATATAAAAAATAAAACCTTCAACTGAAGTATTTTTTTAATAAAATATTATTTCGAAAACTACTTTATTTAATAGGACAACATTTCATTGTAGGAGATGAAAATCGACCGGTCTTTCCAGCTATAGTAAATTGTCCACCTTTGTAACCAGGCACACCGTTTTCATCTACTCGGAAATCTGGTTGCACTTGTTCCCATATCTAAAGAAAAATTTACCGAGCTAATGGTTTTATAAATGGCTTTTCACATTTATTTACTAAAAACATAACGAGGCTAAGCTAAATTTTTTTCTATTAGCCTATATACGTATTTTACTATCTACATAAGTTGAAATTCTATTGTACCTTTGTTATTTAGGGGCCATCCATTATTACGTACGCACAGAGGGGAAAGGGGGGTATCCCAAGTTGAGTAATTTGCCTACGAGTGCATGGCACAGATCACCCAGACCATATTTTAAATATACGGAAAATTGTTTGGGTAAAATATCTGGAAAATATTTTCCCCTTAACTTTGCTTTTAGCTGCGTTGTTTCTAATCTTTTTTTAAAACTTTTCTTAGTTTTGTAAGAGCGATGAGTGAAAAAAACAAATACATTATAAAAATTTATACCTAAACTTGTATGTATCAAGAACGTTTTGGATATCCGGAAAAAATTAAAGGTGAGAAAAACATCCGAATTCAGGAAATATCCAACAAATTTATGTACGCAAACTCAAAAAATTGAGGTGGCAGTTCACGTTCACTTGCCCATTAATAAGGTGAACGCCACTCACGTTCATGGCCTGTTAAGGTTGTAAAGTTTGAACAGCGCAAAAAAAAAAGAACGCTCGCGTGCGCGAATGGAATTGGGAGAAGGGGTTAGATCACCGATCATATGAAACTTATGAGGGAGGAGGAAGGAAGGAGGGGGTAGAATCACTAAACTTACGTACGCATGGGAGGGGAGGGGGTTTACAAAAATATACGAGGTGCAAAATCTGGAGATTTTTTGCGCATGTAATATATGGCCCCTCAACTAAAATAAAATTTTACCTTTTTCTTTGGATTTAGCTGTACGTCAGCATCTCCTAAAATTTTTATTTGATTTGATTAAATATTAAACAAATAGATCATTATTTATAATAAAAAGAATATTTAATTGGATTTTCGCGAAAAAATCATAGCATTCAAATAAAAAGGAGAAGTACAAAATATTTAATGAAAAGCAATTTCTTTCACAAATGTTAAATTTTTGGGATAATTAGGAGTTTCATAATTAGTATAAACTAAGCACCTGCGTCTCAAAATGGTACAAGACGAAACGATAAAAAATATTATTTTGATAAAACCGGTAGGAAACGAAACAATTTTTATACAATTTTGGAAAAAACGGTACAAAACGAAATAAAATTTTCTTGTTTCGGGTACAAATCGAAAAAATAATTTTTTGTTTGGTAAAGACCGGTACGAAATTAAATAAGGTTAAACTTTTTCCAAAATGAAACGGTAAAAAACGAGACGAACAAGAAATATATGAATTTTTAATATGGGGACCTAATACCTCTAGTGGATCCATCAGTTAACTTGATTTGGATTTGACACTTTTTACATTCCCCAAATTTAACACCTGACACAGTAACCTTGCTGAAATAATTCCATAAAATTTTAACTTTTATAGGCATGATTAAATGATTGAGAATAACTACGATGTTGATCAAAAGAATGGGGAAACAAACAAAGCTTTTTTTAAGTGGAAACTAATTTGAATGTTTAACTAATAAAATCAATTCCATAGATCATCCTGGTCGTATTTTAAAAATCCGGAATACATTTTCCCTTATATTCCCCTTGATTTTGATTTTAGCTGAATTGTTTCCAATTTTTTTTTTGAAATATCATTAATTCTTGTATGAGCAACGAGTAAAAAAACTTAAAAAAGAAATATATCACAAAAATATGTACCTAAACTTGTATGTATGGAAAACATTTTGGATATCCGGAAAAACTAAAAGTTGAAAAAAATACTCCGGAATTCCAGAAAATATCCGGAATTCCGGAAATATCCGACCAGGGCCGGCGCGAGAAGGTGTCAAGTCATCCCGGGCCGTCACATCGCGCCGGGCATATATATATATACATATATATATATACATATATATATATATATACATATATATACATATATATATATATATATATATATATATATATATATATATAATATATATATATATATATATATATATATATATATATATATATATATATATATATATATATATATATGCCCGATGAATAATTTTTCATCGCGGCGACAGATGAAAAATTTGTATTTTCATAAAATGCCAGTTTTCATAATAACTTTTTGAATAACTTTCAAAAAAATATTTTTGAAAGTTATTAAATAGGTAGGATATTTTTAGTAGAAATCAAATTTTTAAACAATAAATTAATTAGTTTTGCTGGATATTGAAAGTTAACACAATAATCTCGTATTTAGTAGGTTCTCTCCTTTATATAATAAAATTTGAAATATTTCATTCAAACAAAGATTGCAAACTCTTGATGCGAGTTTATATACATATAAATATATAATTTATATGTATATAAAGTCTAGATGAACTTAAAGTTAACAAATTATTACAGTAAATTCTACCTACAGTTGACAACTTCTTTGTTATCGTTTTTTTAAATTATAATGTCGTATTAACGTTTGCAAATTTTCTTAGATACGCTAAACCTTATGAAAATGATGCAATTGCATTGCTTTGTTAATATACTTTTTAGTTAAATTTTTGTTTAAGAAACATTAAGTTAGTAAGTATTAAACGCGCATTTATTCTGCTTGAATGTCAAAGTTCATGTATTGCTCGGGGAATCGTGAGATATCTGTTTGAGGCGGGAGAGTTATGAAATATTCCATAAAAACCGATACGAAACAAAACAAGTTTATTTTGTTTCGTAAATAACGATACACAACAAAACAAAATTTTTTTGTTTCGTAAAAATACGGTACGAAACAAAACAAGCTTTACTTGATTCGTAAAAATACGACACAAAACGATATGATATTTTTTTGTTTCGTAAAAACGGCAAGAAACGAAAATTATTATTTTGTACCGTGTCAAAACGAATTTCTGAGAGGATACGAGAAGACGCAGATGCTTAGTATAAACATTAAATTCATAATTATGAAGCAAATGTAAAGAATAAACATTATATTAAGGAAGGGTGTGTGTGTGTGTGTGGGGGGGGGGGGGGGGGTAGGGTCAAAAATGAAAACCCACCCATGACGAATTGCAAATAAGTAAATAACTACATAAAATAAGTACATGTTTAAATAAATAAGTACGTGTTTTGGTATCGATTTTTTTAGAAAAGAATGTTTATCATTTATTTAAATGAAGACGAAAATTTACTTTTAAATTGAAAAAGTTATTTACTTTTAAATGATTCAACTTGGTTTAAATACCAGTAAAGTTAGATAATCCATCTGTCTTCACATGAAAGTAGATTCTGCAACTATTTTTTATGTGTATGAGTTTTTAATTCTTTTTCTAATGGTTATTCAGGGTGGGTTTTTTATTTTTTAACTGGTAATTTGTAGAACTTCCGCCGTTTTACTAACATTAGTAAGCGCAATTATGTGCCGATTAAAATTTTGGTTAAACCGAAACATATTTTTAATGTTTAAAAGTAAAGCTTTACATAAATTTATAAATTTTTAAGCAATAAATGTAAAAAATAAGATTTACTATTTACTCATCAGATGACTATTAGGCTTTGATTTCAGGCAGTTTGACAATACATCAGCCAAGAACCAAAAGGCCGTATGTCCACATCTTGTGTTTTTTCTGTTTATTTTCAATAAATATTCAAGAACTAATGGAGTATGTGTCAAATAAATCTATTCTCAAGAATGACACAACTTTTAAAAATACTTAAAAAACTAGTCGGACAACCAGGCAGGTTTTTTTTTTTTTTTTAAACATCTTCGCTCCCAGCAAGGCTGCAAGCACTATAAGAGTTGGAAGTTACTGGAAAAGAGAAGATGAAGATTGTAGAGCAAGATAACAATTGACAGACAACTTAAACTATGGAAAATTATTTGAATCAGGAAAGCAAGATAAAGGTAGCAAATTCTAAAGAACTGATGTTCAAGGAAAAAAACTAGAAAAATGAGTTTTTGGAGCACTTAGGAACAGTCACAGAAAAAGGATGAGACTTAATTGACTGACGAGTAACACGAGAATGAATTCTAGTAGATGGCACAAGAGACGCTAGCTCTTTAGAGTAATGTCCATTAAAGTATTTGTAAAAAAGAGAAAGAGAAGCAACATTACGATGATGTGATAATGGTTGGAGGTTGACAATGTATTTTTGCACCTTGTCTAAAAAAGAAAGGGCATCATTGGATGATCTGCCCCAGATATAGAAACAGTATTCCATACAAGGCCGGATTTGAGATTTATAGAGATAGAGAATAGAATCTGGAGTAAGAAAGTCTTGAGCTCGATAAAGAGATTCAACCTTAGCACATGCTAATTTGGGAACAGATTTGATATATGGTTTCCATAAAAGTTTGGAAGTAAGAGTTAATCCTAGACGATGAAGGGTAGATGTCTCATTGAGTAAATTACTATTCATAAAAATAGGAAGGTCTAAATTATTGCAATAACGATTGGCTAAAAAAAAATTGATTTTTATCTGAATTAAAATTCACCAGCCACTGTGAGCCCCATGCTGTGGCAAAAATGAGATCCTTTCAAGATCAAATGCCCCATCCAGAGATGGCTTTGTATCATAACAAGAATAAATGGTAGTATCATCAGTGAACAATGCCACCTTAGATGTGAGAATATCTGGAAGATCATTAATGTAAATTAAAAGGAGTATAGGGTCAAGGATCGAACCTTGAGGAACTCCTGAAGTTACAGAATAAGAAGAAAAGTGCTGTCAATCGAGGACAGCACTTTTTACACTATGATTGGGAAGGAAGGATTTAATAATTTTAAAGGCGTTACCAGATACACTGTAAGAAGAAAGCT